GCAGGCAAATTCATCTAGATTTACCATTACATTTTCTACTCTCTTTATTCTTCATTCCCTCTTGCATTTCAGACCTTTTAGTGGAATCACTTCCCTTTACCTGGAGGTACATTTTAGGAATTTCCTTAAGTAGGGATCTTTTGGTAGTAAACATTTGGTTGTTCTGTTTGGAACTGTTCTTAATTCATCCTCAATATTAAAAGATTGTTTTCTGGGTATACAGTTCTGAGTTAGTTATTTTTCACCATGTATTGAAGATATCTTTTCACTGTTTTATGGCTTTCATCATTCTTAAGAAATCTGTAGGTTCAACTGCCACTTGTTGGAAGATAATGTGTTTTCTTCCTTAGCTATTTTTTTAAAGTTCATTTTATTTACTTTGAGAGAGAGAAAGAAAGCAGGAGAGAGGCAGAGAGAAAGAGAATCCCAAGCATGTGGGGCTCAATCTCACAAACCATGAGATCACGACCAGAGCCGTAATCAAGAGTCAGATGTTCAAGCAACTGAGCCACCCAGGCGCCCCCGTCTTCTCTAGCTACTTTTAAGAACTTCTCTTATCTTCAGTGTGCTATGCTTTCACTGTGATGTGTCTAGGTGTAGATTTCTTTTGATTCTTCCTCCGTTGAGTTTATTTAACTCTTTAATTCTGTGCTTTAGTGTTTTTTCATCTCCTCAAATGAATTTCCATCCATTATCTCTTCAGATACTGCTTGTGCCCCATATTGTCCACCTTTCTTTTCCTTCTAGATTTTTGATTAGGAATATGACCTTTGTCTTCTCTATTTTTTAACCTCTTTCATATTTTCCTTCTTTGTATCCCTTTAGTCTGCATTTTGGGTAATTTCTTCAAAACTGTTCTCACAGTCCTTAATTTTCTCTATATTTGGCCATATAATTTTTAATTGGTTATGTTTTTAATCTGAAGATAGTTTTAAATTTTGTTTTCTAAGCAAGTCAAGCATGGTATATTTTTTAGTAAGCTATAGGAAATTCAGTGGTTTTAAATAATATAGTAAGTTTTTAATTTGTTTTTATGTTTATTATTGAGACAGAGAGAAACATAGCATGAGTGGGGGAGGGGCTGAGACAGAGGGTGACACAGAATCCGAAGCAGGCTCCAGGCTTTGAGCTGTCAGCACAGAGCCCGACACAGGGCTTGAACCCATGAACCATGACATCATGACGTGAGCTGAAGTCGGACACTTAACCAACTGAGCCACCCAGGCGCCCAGTAATATAGTAAGTTTTAACTAAATGAATGGGCTGTTAGAAAATAAACTCATTAAATTTGAAGTTGAAAAATAATGCTAATAGGTAGTAACAATATTAATAATACCTCATATTACTCAATACTGTGTCCCAGGCCCTGTGCTAAGTACTTTATACATGGCCTCGTTTGATTGGCATATCACTATTTCACATGTTTTAAACAACCAACTTAATTTTAATAATTTTTGTTTCAGTGAACTTAACTCCTAAACTAGGCAAATGGAAACTCTTATCTTTTGTAAAAATTTTGAATAACATGAAACTTTTTTTTTACCTTTCATTAACTTTGTTCATACGCATGAATAATGTTACTAAGAAAATCATAACTAAACTGTGATCACAGCTAAGAGAGCTAACATTAAATGAGTTGTATTAGACTTTTACCTCATCCAGTGAAGATACAAGGAAAAGTAAAACTGATTCAAGGCAGAAAGCACTTACATGCTTTTCAAAAGTTTTGGAGTTGTAGTTAGGAAAACAAATCCTAGCCAATTGAGTTTCTGGCTCTGTCCAGTCATTATCACTTCGGGCAAGTCAGTGAGCATCTTGATTTCCACATTGGTTAAATTAATCATCAGAACCTAGCAGTTTTCTAATGCAAGGGTTGGCAGACTTTTTCAGTAAAGAGCCACATTGTAAATATTTTAGGTTTTGCAGGCAAGGAAGCAAAATGAAGGATGTATCATGTAGGTACTTGTGTAAGAGAGAAGACTTTTATCTCATCCTGTCTTGTTTTCCTGGTGTGAGGTCAGTATATTTTCTGGGCATGTTTTGTGCTCAGTTGCCGTCATCTGGAGACATTCTGAGGAAAAAGGGGAAAGGGGCCTGGCAGGCTGGACAGGTAGGGTGACTACTGTGGTCAGTTCCACTCTTTGTCACAGTGACATTTAGGTCCCTGTGTACTCTTCTTTCCTCCTGGAGAAACCAACTGTCTGAACAAATGTCAAAGGCTTGCTAGCACCAAGACCATATCCTGTGATTTCCAGCAAACCCCCTCAAGAAAAACCCCCAATTTAAAAATACTAGAAAAACTTAATGACTTGGAAATTAAAGAATTCTTGGGCACTTGGTGGCTCAATTGGTTAAGTATATGACTCTCTGTTTTTGTCTCAGGTCATGATCTCACAAATGCTGACAGTGCCAAGCCTGCTTGGGATTCTCTCTTCCTCTCACACTCTGTCTCTCTGAATAAAAGAAAATAAGCATTAAAAAAAAAAAAAAAAGAATTCTAAAATAACTTTGGAGCTAAAGAAGAAATCAAAACAAATTAGAATTGGAGTATATACTTTCAGTATAGTAGAGCAAACAATAGAATGGGAGAGTATTATAATTTAGTTCAATAAAAGACAAGAAATACACATAGAGGAAGAACAAATAGAAAGGTTGACATAGGGCGCCTGGGTGGTTCTGTTGGTTAAGCATGCAACTTCGGCTCAGGTCATGATCTCATGGTTTGTGAGTTCAAGCTCTTGATTGGGCTTGCTGCTCTCAGCATGGAGCCTGCTTCGGATCCTCTGTCCCCTTCTCTCCCTACCCCTCCCCTGCTCATGTTTGCTCTCTTAAAAAAATAAATAAACATGAAAAGAGTTTAAAAATTTTGAAAAGAAGAAAGAAAGGTTGACATAATGGTAGAAGTAAAAATTTTAGAATATCGTTACAGTAAAGGCAAATGGAGCATACAGTCTAAATGGTAGAGATTGTCAGACTGGATAATCACACTACATGTTGTTTATATGAGAACTGTCTAAAACTAAGAAAATTAAAAATTTGAAGGGTGCCTGGGTGGCTCAGTTAGTTAAGCATACAGTGTTTGATTTCAGCTCAGGGTCATGATCTCACAGTTTATGAGTTCAAGCCCTGCATCAGGCTCCACACTATCAGAAGGATTCTACATCTCTGCCCTTCTCTCTGCCCCTACTCTGCTCATGTTCTCTCTGTCTCTCAAAATAAATAAATAAACTTCAAAGAAAAAGAAAATAAATTTTAGACCATACGAAGATGGTCTAAAAGGAAAACACATCACCTAAAAGAATGTTGATATAGGTATATTAATATTAGAAAAAATACATTGTAAGTCAAAGACATTACTGAACAAAGTGACCATTAGATGGTAACGAAAAGGTTTAATTTGCCAGCAAAATACAGTTTTTAAGTGTATACATTTAGTAACAGGTTCAAAACCATAAAGCAAAAATTAACAACTACAAAAAGGACAAACTTCTTGTAATGGGAGAGTTTTAATTCCTTTTGCCAATTTTGATAGATGAAATAGATAAAAAATGGAGTATGTAAGATTTCAGCCATGTAAATAAGCTTGATCTAGTAGACTTGTAAAACAGCATATAACAGCTACAGAATGCAGAACTTTTTCAACACACAGATCATCTATAAAAAAATGTTTTAGACATAGCCTAATTTGTGATATTGAATTAGAAATTAAAGTCTTAACTCTTTGAATACAGAGCTTCATATTTTGATATTTTAACACAAAATATTTTTCTAATTAGCAGAAATCCTTCATATTTGCTAAATATAGAACTTTCTGTATATAAAATACTGTGGTATCTACCATCTGTTCATTTTTTAACTTGTTATTAAAGCAGTGGCAGCTGACTGAACACTGCATAACACTTTTCTCTTAAAAATTGTAATGGGCAGAGACTTTAGTCTATATAGTGTAGTAGGATGAGCAGGGACTCTAGATTTGAATTCTTGCTAAGTCACCTACCAGCTCTGGGGAAAGTTGCTTATTAACACCTCTAAGGCTCATCAATAAAGTGAGTGTAACAGTGTCCAAGTTCTAAGGTTATGAGGAATAAGTGAGATACTGTGTATAGAATACGTGGTACCGAGCAAATAATTTCTGCTATTACTGTTTTTGATCACTCATAGAATGTTTACTGAGCATCTGCAAAGTTTTAATCTCAAGCTAAGTATTTTTAATTCCTAAGACTTGTCATTAGGTATTACAGGTTTTAAAAACTCTTATCCCTTCTCTTGCCACAAAGCAAGTTTCCAAATCTTTTCTTGTTGCCATTGCTGACGACTTCTCCTATTGTCCAGGAGATGAGAATAAGAAATTGGGAGAAAAGAATGGGCTGCTCAAAGTATTTCAGCTCTTGGATCAGCTTTTTCTCTTGGATTTTTATCATACTTAATACTTTTGTTGGCCTTATGATTGTGATGTTATCTTATATTTTGATTTGATCTGTCAGAACGCATTTTTGTTTCTGCCAGTACTAATCCTTCTGGTGTTTTTCTGACTACCCAACTGGTGATCAGTTTTAAAGCAAGACTAAGCCTAGGCCTGAAGAATGTATTTATCTCCCGTTTAACATGCTACCAAACTTTAAAAGACCCACATCCACATTATAAGTGCTCAATTCTCAAGGCAGTACAGATTTGATATTCTGAGATATTAAGATAGAAACTCCATAAAATTCTGAGTAGAGAAGGAGTGTGCTTTATTTATATATTTTAAAGGTTAGCAATTGTGTGTCATTAATGAAACAAAGCTGTCTCTAGTGGAATCCTTAAAGCTTATTGTTGGTTTAACCAGGACTTTTAAGTATATGTACAAATATCTGTATACAAATTCACAGTTACGTTCTTTGCAGGTTTTCTTATGAATTCAGTTATATGTCTTCACCAAAGGAACTATAAAATGTTTTAGAAATGAGGGCATAATGTAATCTTGATAAAACATCTCAAAAATGTTTTCTTATTTTTAGATTACCTCTCTAGTGACCCTTCAGCTGTTAACCCTGGTTGGCCATGACGATCAGCTTGATGGACCAAAATACAAATGCACAGTATCTCTAGATTTCATCAGAGCTATTGCTAGGTAAGCACAGGATAATCATTAATGTAAAATGTCTTGAATTATGTAAATGATATACTAAATATAAAAATTAATGTTCTTCCTAATGTAATGTCATCAGTCATTTAAGCAAGAGAAGATCATTTAAGTGCCAAGAATGAATAAGTTTCACTGTACAGTGAACCTCTCATCAAATTTACACATGACACCTAATCGGGAGAATTAGCTAATTTGTTAGATGGCAAAAAGCAAGATTCTGAAAAACCTTACAAGACTGGAATAATGATCCCATAGCAGCAAGGTAGGATTTAATGGATAATTGGCTACAAAAAACCCCCTCAAATGTACTTAAACGAGGTGGGAGAAATCTGGCTTAAGTCCTAAGCATTTTAGCTGGTGTCTCATTCAAGGGAGGTAATAGGTCTACTGTGCATTGCCATAGGCAAAACAAATCTGGTGTACTTTCCTGTGCTTGGCGTTTTAAGAGGGGCTTTGACAAATGGGACGTGCCGGTGTTAAGGGGAGAAGGCAGAAGGAAAGTGGTGGAATGAGGAACCATGTCACATCCCTAAGGGACAGGTTATGAGAGAAAAAAGCCTTAGGAAGGATTTGGTAACCATCTCGAGTATTTCAGGGCCTTTCACGTACAAAATGGATGAAACTAATTATGAGTACTTCGAGAAGTTCTAGGGAAGAAAGTATGTCTCTCAAAATGAGAATTTCTTCTCAGTGGCATCTAACACTGTTGACCACTCTTTTAAAACTCTTTTTTCTTAGAGCCTGTGATTCCAGTTTTCTGGTTTTCCTCTTTATTCTTTGGTGGTTTTTTTCTAAGGCTCTTTTTCCAGTTTATCCTTTCCACCTGACCTTTAAATCTAGCTGGTCCCTGAGGCTTGGCTCTTTTCTCTTTTCATATCATACTTCTTCCTTAGGCAATTTTAGCTACACTCATGACTTAAACAACCATCTCTGTATTAATAACTCCCCGGTTTTTAAAGGCCAGACCTTTTTTTCCTGATATTCTTGACCTTTATTGGATGTTTCTTTGCTATATCAATACATTTCCAAAACTGAACTTGGGATTTCTAACCTCTGCTTCTGCCTGCCAACCAAAAAGGAAAGATCCAGCTTCCCTCCAGGACCCCTGTTTCAGTAGTTAGCACTGCAGTCGGCCATGTGCTGTTGGCCTGAGGTGCTGGCTTCAGACCTGGCAGTCATTCTTGACACTCCTGTCTCCCACACTTCCAGCTTCCAAGCATTAGTTATGTTGATTACCAAGTCCCTCCTACATACCTCAGATTCATTCACGTTTACTGACTGTTACCCCTCTAGACCAAGCCACCATTGTCTTTTCTCTAGTAGCCTCCTAATTGGTCTTCTGTCTACTCTTATCCCCTTATATTTTGTTGTCCACACTATAGCCAGAATTATCTTATAAAAATTTAATGTCACCCTCCTACTTAAAAAGTCTTCAGTATATCTTTTTGAATTAGTGTTTTTGTTTTCTTTGGGTAAATACCGCATAGTGCAGTTACTGGATAATCTTTTTATGAGGAGCCTCTGCACTGTTTTCCATAGTGGCCACACCAGTTTACCTTCCCACCAACAGTGCATGAGGATTCCCTTTTCTCCAAACCCTTGCCAACACTTGTTACCTGTATTTTTGATACTAGCCATTCTGACCACTGTGAGGTGATACCTCATTGTGGTTTTGATTTGTGTTTCTCTGATTGTTAGTGGAGCATCTTTTCACCTGTCTGTTGGCCATCTATATGTCTTCTTTGGAAAAGTGTTCAAATCTGCTCATTTTTAAATCTTTTAATCTTTTTAAAAAATCCATCTTTTAATCCTCTGCCTACGTTTTAATTGGATTGGATTTTTTTGGTGTTTAATGATATAACTTCTTTATATATTTTGGATATTAACTCCTTATGAAAAAACCTCTCTAATTAGTAAAGATATATGCACCACTCTGCTTATTGCAGCATTATTTTCAGTAGCCAAGACATGGAGGCAACCCAAGTGTCCACTGATAGATGAATGGATAAAGATGTGGTAATATGCAATGGAATATTACTCAGTCTTAAAAAAGATGAGATCTTGCCATTTGCAACAACATGGGTGGGTCTAGAGGGTATAATGCCAAGTGAAATTAAGTCAGGAAGAGAAAGACAAATACCATATAAATTCACTTATATGTGGAATCTAAAAAGTACTTAAAAAAATTTTTTTTAATGTTTATTTTTGAGAGACAGAGACAGAGACAGAGACAGAGTACAAGTAGGGAAAGGGCAGAGAGAGAGAGAGAGACACAGAATCTGAAGCAGGCTCTAGGCTCCTAGCTGTCAGCACAGAGCCTGATGTGGGGCTCGAATCCACAAACCGCGAGATCATGACCTGAGCTGAACATGGACGCTTAACCGACTGAGCCACCCAGGCGCCCCTAAAAAGCAAACAAACTTATAAATACAGACAACAAATTGGTGGTGGCCAGAGAGGAAGTAGTTGGGGAGATAGATGAAATACATAAAGGGGGTTAAGGAGTACAAACTTCTAGTTACAAAATAATTTGTAGAGATGAAAAATAATAGCACAGGAAATATAGTCATTAAGATGGCAGTAATGTTTGGTGATGGATGGTGACTTCACTTACTGTGTATGCACTGAATCTTGGGTAGAATTGTTGAATCAATATCTTGTACTCCTGAAACTAATGTAACATTGTACATCAATTATACTTAAAGAAAAAAAAGTCTTCAATAATTTCCCATGACTCTTGGGGTAAAAAAAAAAAAAAAAACAGGAATTTTTAAAATAGCCTACAAGACCCCAGTGCTTTGGCCCTTGCCATGTCACTGTGCTGCCCAGGCCACGTCTGGTACAAACACTGCTCCCCTTGGTATTTGCATTTTAACCCAGCTGACTTTTAATTAGTTCTTCCTATTCACCATTATGCTTTCCATCTTTGGAAACGCAGCACTTTCCAACTCCTCCTCTCCTTTATCTTGCTAACTGCTGCTTAACCTGTAATGTCAATTTAAATGAAAAGTGTTCTTAAACCACCATCATCCGCCCTCCCCCCCCCACTCCAATCACACTTAGGTAAACTGGTCTCATTCTTCTCTTCTGATACTTATCATAGTTTTAATTAATTACTTAATTCAATAATTAGATTTTTTTCTTTCTACCATGTAAGTCCACAAAGCTCAACGCAGAAACTATGTCAGTTACTGTCTTACCTCAAACTTAAAAACAATGCTTTAAACTTAGTATGTGTGAAATATAAAAGCAGTGCATATTTTCCTATAGTGATTAGCAGTAAAACCTCAGATGAAAAGGAACCATTCCGGGCCTGTGTTTTGGCACAGCAACAAAAAGGGAGCTAAAGAGACAGAGTTTCATTCCAAACTGAGGTATGGTGGAGATAGGAGATCTCAAGGATAGTTACCAAAGAAGAGGTAGGTATGTTTGATGCTGACACCTGTGGTAGAGAATGAATGATTAGATCAGAGGACACAACCTAAATGTCCAAAACAAGAGAATGGATCGCTAATTTATTGTACATTCTTATTTTTAAAAAGCAATGTACAGTTATTAAAAATCATACTTTTGAAGGGTAAAAACATAAAAATACTATTGAGACAGTATATCAAGTGGATAAAGCAGTTACATATGGAGTTATATACACAAGAAAAGTAGGAAAACCTACGGGAAGGGAGTGATGGTCAAAACTGGCAATTACTACCAGGAAATCAAGCATCTGTTTTAATGATAAAACAGTCATTTGTAGCTTTATCAAGAATACCTACAGGAATACAGTGGGTTAGAAGTCAGAGATTATAGTATTTAGAAGAAATTGATGCAGCAAATAGAATGGTTTTAATTCATTGTTCACTTAACATTTATCGTGTTGCCCATTATAATCACTGTGCTAGGCTTTGGGATATAGCAACAAGTATAACAGATCTACTATACCCCATCCTCATGAGCCTATATTCTAGGTTTGTTGTTTTGTTTTGTTTAGAGAGAGGATTGTTATCTACTAACAATGTGAGAGGGTTATTATTGTTTAAACGTTTGTTAAATGCTTATGGGAAAGGGGTGATAGAAGAGAATCAATGATACGAAGGATAGAGAGATTAATTTAAAGCCTCAAGTCCTTGAAATGGTATATCCACGTGGGATTTAGAAATGAGTTGAAAGAAGTAGCCCTGGATGAAAGAGGGGACTCTTTTTGCATTATAGCATAAGGAAAAAGTAGATTCAGATGGAGCTGAGTTTGAAAATTTGGTGGCCAGAAGTTGAGGGTATTCTTATGTCTTCTCTTTTGCAAGTAAGGAAGGAGGCAAATTTGAGACTAAGGACAGAAGTTATGGAAATCTGTGAGGAACGTGGGTATTTGAAATAGCTGCCATAGGGAATAAAAGAAAGTGCTACCAGGAAAAGCAAACTTGCTGGGAATATTGAGGGCCCATTTAAGGTTCCTGAGCTTGAATTTACAGTGGCACTGATCTGTGAAACTTGTGATCCTCTCCAGTAGCATTCCATATGTCCCAGGTACTGGGAGAGCAAAGGGGCATTGTTGAAATCACAAAGGATTGGGGTTTTGCCAGGTGAATTTGGTGGATGCCAGCGAGTGAGTGCTCGAAGTAACATTCCATGGAGTCTGATCTAGGAAGGGAAGGAAGGAAGTGAAGCCAGTAGAGAGCCAGTAGTTCAGTGCCTAGCATGTAATACAAAGTATTTGTAGATCAAGACAAAGTACGGGGGCTTGTGAACTGTTTTAAGGTGTTCCAGATAGCTTAAAAAAAGAGCTTGGGGATCAGAGGATAGAATGCCTGAATTTATGTTTTTAGAGGCAGAATATTTCTGAGTATGATCTAAGAGTAGAAAAGAATGTCACTAGGGTGCCTGGGTGGCTCAGTCAGTTAAGTGTCTGACTTTGGCTCAGGCCATGATCTCACAGTTTGTGAGTTCCAACTCCACCTCACGCTCTGTGCTGACAGCTCAGACCCTAGAGCCTGCTTTGGATTCTGTGTCTCCCTTTTTCTCTGCCCCTCCCCAGCTTGTGCTCTGTCTCTTCAAAAATAAACATTAAAAATTTTCCTCAAAAAAGAAAATGCCATTGAAGGCAAGGAAGACAGGTGTGCAGTGAAGTCACTAAGACTGATACAGATCTTGGAATGGAGAGGAGGACTGAACTGGGTGCTGCATTTTCAGTGACTAAGAGATAGTGGCAGGGCCATACAAGGTGGTAAATGGAATGATCTGAGTCTCAGAGGAGCAGAGCTTTTGGTACCAGGACACCGACCCCACCCAACAGGACTACCTGGAGTCTAACCTCATTGGAAAGAGCTCAAGAAGAGGCAAGGTCCTTCGGGGGGCGGGGGGGGGGGGGCAGATTTAAACCCAGAAGAGAAAAACATGAATGGGAGAGAGAGAAGACATAGAGAACTTTATTGACCAAGGAACAGTGAGAAAGTTTGAACAGAGAAGTCGTCAGAAGCTTTAAAGGAAGTAGTAAATATGGAAGTAGAATATGGGAGAAGACAGCTGATGAGAAGCTTATTAAATATTGTCATTAGGATGTTCTTAATGTGAATGGTAGTTTTAAGTTTCTTTCTTAACACAGTCCTTGGGAAGACAATACAAGATAACAGGATTGAAACTTAAAGTTGTCTGGTGGCAAGTTGTCAGAAGAACCAAACTAAAAATTCAAACTGCCCACAAAAGTAAAAAGAAAGAAAATAGCATCCCATGAGAAAAAAAGTATTTCAGGGTAGTAAAAGAATCAACAAAGTGAAATAAAAGGATAAAGGCAAAATTAAATCTTCAGACATATGCAGTGTAACTAACTTCTGTAAGAGTGTTCTGAATTCTGATTTAGGAAGGAATATTCCTAGGGGAAAAAAAAAAGGAAAACTAAGAAACAGGCTCTTAACTATAGAAAACAAACTGATGGGCACCAGCAGGCAGGAGAGGAGAGGGATGAGAGACATAGCAATGGAGATTAAGGAGGGCACACTTGTGTTGAGCACTGAGTGTTGGATGTAAGTGTTGAATCACTGTATTGTCTGCGGAAGCTAATATTATACTCTGTGTTAACTGACTGGAAATTCAATAAAAACTTGGGAAAAAAAGGAATTAATTACTCCTAGGTAAATTGTCACTGATATTATTTATGTTTATCCTATTTTTTCTATATGCTTACTTCTCTGGGGTACCTGGGTGTTCATCTCATAGTTGATCTCACAGTTGGTGAGTTTGAGCCCTGCATCAGGCTCACTGCCGTCAGCCTGTCACCCTCTCTCTCTGCCTGTCCCCTGCTTTCTCTCTCTCTCTCTCTCTCAAAAACTAAATTAAAAACATCAAAATTTTTAAAAAGAAGGAAAATAATTAATTTTGGTTCTAAGAGAACAAGTAGCTCTTGTACAACTATCCAAAATCTTAAAATCATATTTATATAAATTTAATATGCACCTGAAACCATGAAAACCCAGAGAAAGTACATACAAAGAACATAACTCTCTTTGTCAGTTAAAGCATTCTTTACAGTGAATTGTGTCTCCAAGTCCTGTAATCTTTGGAATGTGTGACATAATTTTTGATGTCCTGGTAGTTATTCTTTGAAATTCTTCCATTTCCTAGAATAATATATGTGGGGATCAGTAAGCAAGTCACCTATTTACATTGGGAGATGGAGAGATGATGGAGAAAGACATTTATACATCTTGAGCAGTAAATGTTTCTTTTTCTTTCTAAGATTAAGCATTTTTTTAAAAGTTTGTTTAATTTGAGAGAGTGAATGAGGGAGGGGCAGAGAGAGAGAGAGGAGACAGAGAATCCCAAGCAGGCTGTACACTGTCAGTGCAGAGCCCGATGTTGGACACGATCTCATGACTGTGAGATCATGACTGGAGTTGAAATCAAGAGTCAAATTGAAATCGGGGCGCCTGGGTGGCTCAGTCGGTTAAGGCCTCGGCTCAGGTCATGATCTCACGCTTCGTGGGTTCAAGCCCCACGTCGGGCTCTGTGCTGACTGCTAACTCATAGCCTGTAGCCTGTTTCAGATTCTGTATCTCTCTCTCTCTGACCTCCCCTGCTCACGCTGTCTCTCTCTCTCTCTCTCTCTCAGAAATAAATAAAACATTAAAAAAATTTTTTTTTGAAAAAGTCAAATTGAAATCAAGTGACTTAACCAGCTGAGCGACTAGGCTCAGTAAATGTTTCTTAAAGGAATGATCTTATGTGTTCAATTCCTGAGTAATTTATTGTCTTGAAAAAGTCCAAAAGTCTTAAAGGTGTTATTCAGTTTGCTTGAATACATCCCAGTGACAAAGCAGACAAATGGGATGTAGTGACACTTTTATGAATGGATGCACTCAAATAGTGTAGTGTTTTTAAGTCAGTCCATTCGTTCTAGCAAATAAAACTTTTCTACAAATTATGCTAAAGTTATACATCTAGACTGAGTAAAATACAGGAGTCCTGCCACTAACAAATCACAGTATTTCATTTGTTTGTGTTTTCTTCTGGTCCTAGTCCATTATACAGATGCTTGTCCTGAGTTTTCAGTACTGAGTTGCAATTCTGCCCTTTTCCTTCTTAGTATTTGTAGATATATCTTCATATTGGTTGTTTTGTACGACTATCCCATATTCTATCACATAATACCTTCTAATCCAGTAGTTTTCAGTTTTAAATGTTTTAACCTTAGCTTCTTCTAATCATTTCCCACTCAATGTCGAAAAATCCCAAAGCCCAAAACAATAAAACTTAACATTAAGGCCACTTTACCTTGTCACTTTTGGTTTATAAGATTAAGACCCAAAAAAGTTACTGTGGGGATATGTGCCTGGAGAAAATGAACAAATTCCCCTTACCTTTTTGCCTCTGGTTAGAAATAGCCATTTATGTCTGTCTCCTCCCAACATCTTCTAAAAAGGATCTGATTTTCGACCAGGATGATTTATATTTTTTCGACAGTTTTGTCCAACTGGAAGTTTGTACTTAATGATTTGAGGGAAAAAAAAGGTTAGTGATACCTTGTTGCCAGTAAATTTGGGAAGTCCTGGAATTAGAAGAAAAACATAAAAATAATATAGAGGATGATATAATATCCATACAACTCAGGTCTTTATGCCTGAGATTTTTTTTTAAATTATAGTAACTATTTGTAGTTTCTTTATTACTGTGAATGATAACAGGATTGTCCTGGCAGGTTTTTATGCCACTTGGAAAGGTCTAGTATCTTCAGAGGCACCATTGTAAGGAAAAAATTAAGGTATTCTTTGGTCCTACATGAGATGCCACAATAGCCATAGCATCTCATTTGAGCTATTTTTAAATGTGTTTTCACAAGCAGCATCCGCAGTTCCCCATTCCAGATTTCAAACAATATTTGATATGTCAGTCATTTGCTTAGAAACTTTTTTAGAAAGTGTTACAAAATGATAGACAAAAACATTAATTGATGATGGTTTAATAAATAAGAGCATGTAATTACTGAATCTTGAAAAGGCTGTTCTCACATGGATGATTATTTTTGCAGAACTGAATACTTCAAGGCTTTAATTTTACACTTATTGCTAGATCATTATATCTAATTATTTTGACCATTTATTCAAATAATAAACCTCCAAGTCTGAATATTTATGGTGAAGAATGAGTTTGGAGAAAGGAAAATAATTATATGTCTCTGCCCCTCTGCTATTTTATTCTGCCTGCCATCGGAGTACAAAAATATACATTCACATCGTCTGTTTGTTGTATCATATTGTTGGATCATACAGATTTAGTTACAATATGCACGCAGGTCACCAAGTGTTGAAAGACTGAAAAGAATGAAAACTACAAATGAGGACAGATGAGCTATGCATAATGTAATGATAAAACAGGTGTTTTGGAAGATAAACAGTGTTCAGAAGCAGAGAAGATTTAAATACTTTTGCATCTCTAATTACTTTATTCTGGTTATTAGACAAAAAGCAAATAGTTTTCAAATGAAATCTTAACTTTCTGTAGGATAATTGAAATAGAGATTGTTGGATGGTTCTAACTTCATTTCCTTTTTTCTTTTTTCCCTCAGAAAAGCAAACTTTATGCATGGGGTTGGGGTGGGGGGAGGAAACTTTTCAAAGAAACCTTCTTCCTAGTGACATTTTATAAAATTAATGCCATTCCTGTCTTGGTGCTTTTCATAGCACTATAGGATTGGTTAGCATTAGTTGTGTATAATTTTGCATGTGCCTCCCAGAACCGTACATACAAAGCTGAGCAGTCTAGGGGGTGAAGATGCTAACATATTATCTATTTTTGTTTATAGGACGGTGAACTTTGACATAATAAAATACTTGTATGATTTCTTGTGAAAACAAGCTTCAAAGCCATATGGACACTGTGACAATGACTAAGCCAAGCTGTGTTCATCCAACTACTTAGCTGGCCAGGGAGAGGAGTTCTTTGGCTCTATTGGATTTGTCCAGACAGGTGCTGGCCCAGCATGGAATCTAATGAAAATACTCTGATTGGTCTGGGTGGATGTGAGCAGAAGACTATTTACCAGGGACCCTGGAGTATTTGGAAGCAACGTGTTAATTATAAACAGCAGGGTTTGAGCACAATCTGTTCTACTCTTAATGATGTTATCTTAACACTGAAATTGCCTGAAACCCATTTACTTAGGACTACATTTTGCTCTGTGAACTATCCCCTGCGCTTTGAACGTGCCAGCAGCCCTTGTATATAAGCCCAGTCTTTTCACTTCCTCTCCACAGGAGCCTCTGCGGTTGCTTGCCAAAGCAGATTTTCCTAAGGCCACCGTTTTAAAAGATCATAGTTGCAGAATATAATAAATAGAAGGTTTTTTTTTTTAATCCAAGCTTGTATATGCTTATCCTTCACCCTGATATTCTCAAAAGGCACAAGGTAGTTTGATCAGATTTAGGCCAACTTTCCATCCCCAGGCCTGCTTGATAAATGCAGTCTGCTCGCGTGGGGTTTTTCTGGTTACTCTTGACAATTAACCACCCAGCCTAGCTTTTTAATCCACATAATGGTTTTCTTATCTTTTTTTTAAAGTCACTGGCCTTTAAGAGTTCCACAATAAAACTTTTTCCTGTTATATCAGTTAATGAACCTTGGGTCTGGTTTTCTTGTCTGTTCATATTTTGAAGAAGCTTTCTGTTAGTTGAATACTTGAAAATTGTTCTGAGCAGATTAAAGTGCTTGATTACAGAGCCCAGTTTACATTTCAGGGGCATTTTATTCTTCCCTTCCTTTTTTAAAGAAAAATTCTCAAAATAGTCACTGCCAGATAGGAAACCTTTTCATGTGGTTACTGTCTGCCACATTCTGAATCAAAGAAAATAAGCAGTTCTGTTCTTGCATTTGTTTGGAGGTAATAAAAGGGAGAGAAGGAATGGATTTCCTGTTTGCCTCCCAAAGGATAACATCCACTTTACCTGAGATGTCCCATAGAAGGTGGTGACATTTTGTGTTCTGGAAGATGTTTGGAGAAACCAGGACCAAGGGAAAGCCATGTGCATTGCAAATTCAGGCTTAGGTTTCCTGCACAAAGAAATCCATGTATCATTGAAGTAGAAATCAGCTTGGGTAGCTGATTTGAGGAGGAGCGGTGGGGGAGAGTTCAGCCCCTCATGGTTTGCTGGAAAGTGGCAGGTCTGCTGTGCAGCCTTCTTGGATAGGCTGGGCCCAATCTGCATTTTGAGAGAAGAACTCTGGAATGTCAGAGGGGAAGAAATTGTCAAATTGGGAACTGCAGTGGAGGGCGGAAAGGAGGCAGAGTACAACTTAGAAGAATGTAAGTGACTCTCCATGCCTCCTCCTCACTGCTGGCCACCCAACCCCTGCCCAGCACCTTGCCTGTCCTGTACCTGCTCCACACAGTGCTATCGTCCCCACATGTGGCTTCCCTGCAGAAGACCTTGTAACCAGATTTTCCCTGCTCCTGACTGGACCATAAGACCTACTCTGTTCATAATTCACTTTCTAATGGCTAAATGACTAACTAATTTGATTAATTTATTTAAATGAAGGCTAATAGAGCTTAATATGGATTTTAGCATTTTAACAAGGGTCATCTGCAAATGAATTCTATAATTGGAAGATATGAATCTCCAATTACAGGAAGGTGTCTAATGAGGAGAATTGGGCTGGCTGGTGGGCCAGTTATTTCCATTAAGAGAGGAGGTGCTTCAGGAGTGTGAATCAGTGCAGCCACTGTGGAAAACAATATGGACTTTCCTCAACAAACTAAAAATAGAGCCGCCATAAGATCCAGCAATTCTACTTCTGAGCATTTATCTGAAGAAAATGAAAAACTAATTTGAAAAGGTCTGTGCACCCCAGTGTTCACTGCAGCATTATTTAAAGTAGCCACAATATGCAACAACCTGAGTGTCCATCGATGGATGAATGGATAAAGAAGATGTGGTACATATGTGTGATGGAATATGACTCAGTTATAAAAAGGATGAAACCTTGTTATTTTCAGCTATGCAGATATTAAGGTATCTTAAGGGTATTAAACTAAGTGAAAAAAGTTAGAGTAAGACAAATACTCTTAGGATTTTTTTATGTGAAATGAAAAAGCTAAAATGAAACCGAACTCCTAGATACAGAGAACAGACTGACGGCTAGGTGGAAAGGGCATTGTGGAGGTGGGGGGTTGCGAAATGGGTGAGGGGAGTCAAGAAGTACAAACTTCCAGTCATTAAATAAATAAGTCATGGAGATACAATGTATAGTATGGCAACTACAGTCAATAATCCTGTGTTGCATATTTGAGAGTTGCTAAGAGTAAATCGTAAAAATTTTCATCACAAAAAAATGTAACTTTTTTCAACCCTAATTTTAATATACACTTCATAAACATCTTCATTTCTAACACCAAACATAATAAAACATGAAATATACTATGTTGAAATTTATCAGGAAATCACTGTTATATAATGTTTTGTTGCATTATTTGTAAAAAAAAAAAAAAAAGAGAGAGAGAAGGCACTTAAATTATGCTCAGCATTTATTCTGCCTAGATCTAAAAATGATTTAGGTGGTAGAAGGAGAAAGTTACAATGCTGTAGGTTTTTAGAGTTTTTATACATGGGTGACCATATATTTGAAGAATATTTTCTTTGAATGACTGTGACCCAGGTATACCTAGTTAGGTGGGGATCTTAGGCCTTCTTCCCTCCTCCTCTCTTTTTTTTTTTTTTTAATTTTTTAAAATGTTTATTTTTGAGAGAGAAAGAGAGAGGCACAAAATCTGAAGCAGGCTCCAGGCTCTGAGCCGTCAGCACAGATGCCAACGTGGAACTCAAACTCCTAAGCCATGAGACCATGACCTGAGCCAAAGTTGGAAGCTTAACTGACTGAGACACCCAGGTGCCCCCCTCTTATGTTCAAGTTACTTTCAATCTGTGAACCAGTCTTCATTGCAGAAGCAATTCCTTTTCAATAACCCTGGAAAGGACTCTGATCCAACAAGCCTCTTCTTATTAAGCCCTAAGGTCAGAAGGGGGTTGAGCTCTAGGGCAGCAGTTAAGAGTTGGGGCTCTGGAGTCAGACTACCTTGGATCAAACACCAGCTGTATTTCTACAGGCTGTGTGACTTTAGGCAAGTTGTTGAATCTGTCTGTGCCTCTGTTTTCTCACCTGTACAGTGGAGGGTAGAATTTACCTCCCACAATAGTTTGGAGGATTAAATAAATTGATATATCTGAGGCAGTAATTCTCAACTGTGGGCAGTTTTTCCTCACCATGGAATGAATATTTAGCAATTTGTGGAAAGATTTTTGGTTGTCACAACTCTGAGATGGGTGGAGGATAGAGGAATGGAGTGCTGATAAACATCTTACGTGCATGTCCCACAACAGAATTACCTGGTTCAAGATGTCAGTAGTGCTGAGGTTGAGGAACTGTGATCTAAATAAGGTACATGGCATAGTAAGTGCTCAGCAAATGTTGGCTGTTGCTATTATGACATATTTGTGGCCTAAGAAAGAGGTAAGTGAAGGAATGTAGAAACAGTCCAACCAAAAAGGAAAGAGGTACTCTTACCTAACCATACCTAAGGAAAATCTCTCGTTGGAAATTTTGGAATTATTCAAATGGACACAGTACCTTGGATTTTTTTTTTTTTTTTAATTGAAAGACTTATCAGCTGGGCTCTAGTTCATACCCAGATTTCATTACTTGTTTTTCAGGATTTTGTTGAATAGTGGAAAGCATGAGCTGAAAGTGACCAAATCAGAGAGCAAGTGACATACACTGTTTTCCCACAAGGTGTGATAGTTGAGCAATTAGTGGTGTACCTCTAATGGATTTAGTTAACTGACAACTGTTTGATGCAATTAAGGTGGTCTGGAGCTTGGAAAGCTCCGGTGTAAGAAGCCACCTCTTTGGTCTCTTCAAGGCGTGCACCCCTGTTTATACTGTGCAAAGAAAAGTAATGCATCAAATCCAAGAATAGTGCATCCCTTATCGCATCAAGTACTAAGTCTCAAAAAGAGTAGTTGAAATGCAGCAGTCGCCCCCAGGTATGCAGTTTGGGTTGTCATAGTGTCCTCCAGAGTTAGCTGAACATGCACACTGTTGAGTATCATAATTGTTTGCATTTTATGCCTTCAGCCATGAGCAAAGACTTGGAAGTAATTAGCGCAGAGGTTGATATTATTCGGCTTCCTCCCCTACATTTTGAAAGCTTCATCTGCTACAGAGTGGGACTGTCTATCATATGTAAATCGTTCAGATAATTTTGCATGTAATTTCAGTCTGCTGACACATTTTGCTTTCAAAAATGCTTAGTAGAGCTCAAAGAAATCTTTCCTATCAAGATACCAACATTTCACTCAAATTTGCTATTAAGTGGCCTGAATACACAGTTAGTGTTCATTTTCCAGCAGTGACACATTCATGAAGCACAGTATGAGAAGTAGAAATTTGGTAGAGCAAAGAAAATTATAATCAATTCATTCATTTAACTGCATGTTGATGCACAGTAATGATGGGAATTTTAGAAGGCATTCAACTGTTTGAGTAAATAGTGGTAGCTTTGGCATGAGCAAAGAGTCTGGATTTTAGAGACATTGAAGATTTGCTTGGGTTTTGGATGAGCCACAAACTATTTCATTGGTCTTTGAAGGGGCTGAGCCTCTAATTTAATGACATTTCCCATATGAATATTCAAATTCATCCAAAAAATACCAAGTACCGGCTGTGGTCCAAGGAGTCAGATGTCTGGCCTGGACAACAGGTGCTCTCAGCATCAGTAGAGTCATTCCATGAGAGAGGAAATCTTGGGGGAAGGATTAGATCTGTGGCTTGAGGAAGATCATGAGTTCAATTTTGAACATGTTGCCATTGGAGTGCTTAGTCAAATGAAGTGTGAAGTAGGTGGTTGCATCAAAGTTAGAGATCTGACTTACAGCCAAGTATAAATGCAGCGCTTGTCAAAGCAGGACTGTTCAGTAAGTTAGAGGTCTTAGTTCTTAAAGTCGTGTCCCTGACATGGGGAGGAAGAAACTGTCTGGAAATGAGCTGAAAGAAAACATATAGAAGGTGACCGTAACTATTGCTCCTCAATTCGCCACAGAGCTGTAGTTAACTTTATTTTTTTTCCAAATAACAATTCTTCACTGTTCATATACACCACATTCCCTCTAGTATATGAAGCAGCAGTGAGATATCAGCTAAGTCCCATTTAGCATCTGATCCCAAAAGGAAAAATCAGACACACTTAGAGTCTTATCTGTGGAGAACGTTAATTCAAAAACACATGATTTCATCACTTTGGGCCAACTCTTAAAATAATAGGGGCACTGCTCTGGCTCAGGTGTGCTGTGGAATTTCAGAGCCCTTTTGGGTTCACTTCCTCTGGGTCTGAGCGTTCAGCCATCCTAATGCATGGGACTCATCCAGCTGGGAATGAAGAGAGCCTCGGAAGAATTGAACTGTACCAACCCCATAGACATCCAGGAGGAAGGAAGCTGAAAGAAAAACCCCTGCTACTTCCTACATCAGCCTTTTTTAATTGAACAACACTGACTGACTGAAGCCTTGTCACCCAGGGGATGGAAAGACAGAAGAAAGAGCCACGTGTCTCTAGAGATAAAACA